CCAGCCCTCTCCCTCTCCCTCTCCCTCGGCATGGTTATTTTCTCTTGGATTCAATAAATTAAAAATTGATGGCAGCTCAGAAAGTGTTGTGCTCTGTCGAGTGCATGTGTTGGTGGCGTTTTGGTGTTGCCTGTAGTCTCGGCCCCTCCCTTGAATGTTCACGGGGAGGAGAGTGAAAAGATCCCTTCGCAGATTATTGGTAAGCACGGGCTTCCTGGCAATCCTCCGTCTTCGTGGGAAGCAGGTGTAAAGTCTCAGATGCGGAGCTCAGCAGATAGATGCTGAGCATTTCTTGTAAACATGCATGCATATCACGATGGCGGCTATGACGTTGGTGGTACACGATTTTAAGAGCCTGGCACTCCTCCCCCTACATCCTTTCCCTACCCACCACCCCCATCATTGAAACAATAATTCTGCATTTGTTTCTCCCAGACTGTGGCTTAGCCATTCAAGGTAGAGATTTGGATTTGAGTCAATGAGGGTAAAGGGAACCAGAACCTGTGACCTGTGTGTGCAGCTATGTGCGTGCACTGTGCTCTGGGGACAGCAGGCGGATGGGCCCTTGGTTGGAATTCCCCGAAGGGCAGGTGCAGGGGCAGTTGTTAGAGATGGACCCATGTAGCCCTGCACTGTGGGGTAAGCACTGGCCAGGTAAGGTCCTGCTAAGCCGTCACAGCTGCTGGAGGCCTGTTGGCTTCTTGGCCTGGCCGGTGTTAATGATGTCTTTCCACTTCTGTCTTTTGCCCCAGATTCCTTCCTAGCCCAGCTGAGGCATGGTGGGAGGTTTGTCTCAGGATCAAGTGCTTCCCTGTCAACTTAACAGCAATGTCCATTATTATTTGTGAACCCTGATTTCATTACTTCTAAACACGTTAGCAGCTGGGAGGAGGCCTCACCTTATAAATAAAATGTGGTTTTGTTGTAAAAGAAAATTAACTTTGTGCGTGTAAATATATATTTGTGCATGCACTTTAGGAGTTCACATTTCAGAACCCCCACCCCAATCTGATACCTGACATTTGAACAAGTTGCCTGCTGCATCCATTCACCTTTCCTCCTAATGAGTCAAACATTTTAGCAATCCCTCTCCTTCATTCGGCTTGCCATTGTGAGAGCAGCAATATTTTCCAGGGCTGCCTGACACTTGGAGAGCTTTTCACGAAAGCAGAAATCATCTTAGAGGGGAAACCTCTTCTTTGCCTTCTTTTTTTCATGGCCTGAGTTTCTGGACAGACAGCCTGAAGGGCTGGTGAGTCAGGTTGGGAATTTGAAAGGCTGTTTTTGTTTTTATGTGTCTTTTCTCTTTCCTGGTGCTTTCTTGTTTCTGGAAGGCAGTTTAGGCTGCTCTGCCTGTCATGGCAGAGGCCTGGTTCTCTGGGGCTGCAGGGCTGGGAGGCCCCAGGGGCCCGCAGGATGGAGAGGAGAGCTCTGGGAGGCCCACAGCTCACTTGGCCCTCCTCTGAGCCTGGCCAAGTGGCTGTTTCTCCTCTTATCGCTTGCATTACCAGTACAGTTCTGAGCAGGGCCACACACACAAACACACACACACACACGCCCAGCTCAGTATCCGCCTGCCAGCGGAAATGAAACCACAGCCCGTCTTTGGGGTGTCTCCAGAGGCCCTGAGTGCGAGTGTCCAGGCCCACAAGCTGCCTTGGTCCACTGACGTGGACCTCAAAGTTTGACAGCTTGAGGGATCAGGGTGACCCTGCTGCCTGTCGGGGTGATGTTACCACCTTCCTGGGGTACCTCGTTCAGGGGCCAAAGCCCAGAGCCCCACACCTGGGGGGTGGGAAGTGGAAACCCCCTTCTTGGAGTTGGGTGAACACCTCTGTCACCTTGAGTTTTACTTTCCAATTGGCAAGTGGGAGGGGAAGGCGATTTTGTTTGTTTCTTTCGCTCCTGGACTCCCTTAGAGGCAGGGAGCGCCATCCTGGGTCTGGGAGGTGGAGGTCCGAGTTCAGGGCGGTCTGTGGGGCACCAGCAGGGCCCCGCTGCCCACGCTGGTGGTGTGAGGGGCCTGGAGGCACAAATCAGAACTGCAGCACAGTGAACGGCTTTGGTACTTTCAGACTCAATTACTGGGGCTCACCAGGGCTTGCTGCATGAGGAAAGGGGAAAGGCCAAGACTGCCAAATAAAGGAAAGAATACCAGATGTTAACAACAACAACAACAAAAAAAAAAGGGAGAAAAAGGCAAAAAGTGCTGCTACAGAGTCATTAGCAGAAGAGGGAAGGGAGAGGCAGGAATGCTTGCAAACAGGCATATGCCATCTTTGCTAATTTTTCAGGTAGTCAGTGTTTCTTTTGAATTAGAAAATGAATTTGACGTGATGGAGCTTCAAACCTCCGAGCTGAAGAGGAATTCATGCCTCCTAGAACTCCTACCCGGGAGGGCGGCTGAAGTTATTGACAGGCAAAACAAAACAAAATAAAAAAAAAAACAAGGACGAAGATTGAATTCAACGTCAGAAATATCCCCCCACCCTCAAGAAAGTGATCAAGTTGGGCACGTGGCTGGAGCCCTGTGGTCCTTGTTTATTTGGATCAACAGCCCTTCCTGACTCCCCAGTGGGCCTGCTCAGGAGCGGCGTGTACAACGGAGCCAGGCGCTGCTACCCTTCCTGCCACAGAACTCGCCCCTGTTTCATTTGAATTCTCAATTTCATTTTGTCCTTTTTTGCTTTTCAGCTCATTTCCTTTGTGCCTCTCTCCCCCTTTTTTTTTAACAAAACAATATTTTGACATCCTCCTCCCATTTACTAGAGTTCCTTCTCTAGAAATGGTGCACAATACATCCTTATATTTCTAAAGAACTGTTTTCACAGCCCTCTCCTTTGGCTCTGAAATTATGTATATGTAATTGGTAATTAAAGGTGCGAGCTTTTCAATATAAACAGTATTGCTCAATGTTAGATCATTAAAGGGAAAAGCGGCACCAAATAATTACCTTTTACATTCTGACAAACTCTTTGCAGGAATCCAGTCTCCCCATAACCACTGTTTGGCGTGAGGGTTGTGATTACATTTTAACCAGAGCAAAGCATCTTTTCATACAATAAATTGGTAAATTAATTATGTAGTATTGTCTTCCAAGTCCTCTTTAAGTAAACTCCGATTTCTCTTTAAAGTGTAATTAATGGCTTCTGGGGCTGGCTTTGTGAAAACTGTTTTTCTTACCTTATAGTTCTTTTTTTGTTAGAGGTATGTAGACAAGAGATGGAGGATTTCCTCATCTGTGGGGTATTTGTGCCACTGCCACATTTCTGATGTGCGTCTACATTTAATTCGTTGAGGGCTCTGTCTGCTTTTCTAGAACTACAGGGGGAATCTCAAACGGTAATTTCCCCTCCCAGCAACACCTGCACAGTGACCATGCGTGGTTCCTATGTGTCACAGGTCACACGCCGTCTGTTCTAGGCTCTGTCTCACACGTGGACTCTTACAAGCCCTGAAGAAGCTTGTGTTTAGAAAAGAGAGGATGATTTATGTGTAGGATGGAAGATGCCACAGAATTTTTCCTTAAATTATCTGCTCTTTGGCTGTGGCCCGTCAATAACTTCACTGCCATGGAATGTGTTTTCCTCCTTCCATCCCTTGTGTCTGTTCTTCCATGGTTTCCATTGTCCCTATTAAATCCCATACAACTGAGCATTTACCTGCCTCCTCGGGTTTCAGGCCTCCGGCTGCCCTTTTGCTCTCTGAAGACCCCGCCACGTGTGCCTCCTACACGGAATTCACTCTCAAGAAATTTCAATCTGAATTTGCTCAGACCCCGAGAGGATATGCAACCTCATTGTCCACTTTCCCTTGTTTATGACGCTCAGCTGCCCAGTCTCCCAATTTTCCCCGAGGGAGTTGCTGCTTTCTGAGGCGTTTATTAGCTTCAAAATATTTGGGTCTCATGCCCCCTAAAAAAAAGAAAGAAAGAAAGAAAGGAAATAATACATTGGCTGCTAAGGAAATGCGAAAATGTACAGCGCATTGAAAGTGCGGCTCGTCATCTGCCAAGAAATGCTTTTGCAGTCTGAAGAATTTTTTTTTTTTCTTTTCTTTTTCTGGGAGTGAAAATAAAACCAACCAACAGAAAGGACAGTGGGGAGCTGATGAGTGTTGAGAAATCTACAAAGCCAGCAAAGTCTGACCGGGAGCAGGATGCTTGGCAGGAAAGCCGGGGTCCCTTTGCCTGCACGGTGTTTTCCTTGGGTATTTCTTTTTGAACCCACACTCACTTGTTGCTTTGGGAGCCTGTGGGCTTCTTTCTCTCGGAAGGACCGGCCGTCAGACGCTGGTCTGGGCTTCCGTGGTCTTGTCTGCTGTGCGGCCAGATCTCAGGTAGAAGAAAGCCAGTAGTATTCCCATGAGTGGGGAGGACAGGAATGGAAGGTAGAGGGAAAGGGGGCGGCATCTTGAGCCCAAGCAGGCCGAACCGCCTCTGGCTAGTGCTTCTCTGCTTGGCTGCCCACTGGAATCACCCGGGAAACCTTAAAATAAAAAGGACAATCTGATGTTTGGATTTCAGTGTAATTGGTGTGGGGTGCTGCCTGGGTGTGTGTATGTGGGGGGTGTTTCAGATCTCTGCAGATGATTCTCAGATGTTGCAGAGTTTGAGAGACGCATCTCTAGCTGGTGCTATGAAACCACGATGAGTGTGTGTATATACACGTGCACGTGTGTGTGTGTGTGTGTGTGTGTGTGTATGCTGTGTTGGGGGAAATGGGCAGAGAATAAACTCAAAAGCAATAATATCAGCCCCACTTAGGCTACAGCCTCCGGGAACTGTGATGTTGCTCCGGAGCCTCAGTTTACCCACCCGTTGCAGTAGGGATGGTGACCCCCTGCCTCCAGGAGTCACGGGAGGATTTGGTGAACTCCGACGTCCCACAGCGGAGTGGGCCTGCCTCTTGGTGGGGAAGGGTTGGAATGCATGGTGGTGACCGTGATTGCCTAAGCCCATCTCTGTCTTCTCTGCCCCCCTTTCTCCTTTCTCTATCCAGCAGAGGCTGACCATGTGGAGGCCGCCATCCTTGAAGAAGATGAGGGTCTGGAGATAGAGGAGCCCACCGGCCTGGGGCTGATGGTGGGCGGCTCCGACCCTGACCTGCTCACCTGTGGACAGTGTCAGATGAACTTCCCTCTGGGGGACATCCTGGTTTTTATAGAGCACAAGAAGAAGCAGTGTGGCGGCAGTCTGGGCACCTGCTATGACAAAGGCCTGGACAAGGGCAGCCCGCCGCCCTCCTCGCGCTCTGAGCTCAGGAAAGTGTCCGAGCCAGTGGAGATCGGGATCCAGGTCACCCCCGACGAAGACGACCACCTGCTCTCGCCCACGAAAGGCATCTGCCCCAAGCAGGAGAACATTGCAGGTATGGGACGCTGTACTTGCCTGGCCGCTACCAAAGCCACCTCCCAGGTCCCATGCCTACCTCCACCCCTTGCTGTGCCAGGCGCTCCCCTCTGCCTGAGGGTGTTGGTGCTGGGAGGACCTGGGGGCTACCAGGATGGGGCCACCGGCCAGGCCTCACCCTTTCCCAGGGGCTGCCATCCAGGGTGCCCTCAGGAGGAGACGGACTGGGGACTCAGAGAGGCCTGACTGGCTGATGGCCGCTTTACTTTGGCAGTGGGACTGTGCTGGGGGGCCTAGCTTGCAGGTGGCCGGGGGTACAGAGCAGCAGTTTGGAGGCCCCTGACTGTCTGTCGCTTTGCTGGTGGTCTTGGTTCTTGGCTTTGGAGCCCATGGTCTTGGACTGGAATTTGTTCTTCAGAATGTGGACTAGTCAGTGTCCCAGTCCGTGAAGATAGAGCTGATGAAACCTCTCTTGATAAGGCTGTAAGAATTAGTGGGATGTTGCATGTGGGCACTGCCTCCTAGGCTTTTCCTCCCCATCCTCTCTCCAGCCTCAGTTGCCCATTTTTAAAAAGAGGGGTTAGGCCCTCTGACCTCAGGGGCCCCTTCTGATGTTGCCTGGTCTTGGGGAGGTCTGGGGAAGGGCTATGGGAGCTTGCTGGAGCACTGTGCCCCCCAGGGGAGGTTGGACTTGCCCCTTTGGCTGGCCACTGGGACAGCTGCCTCATACCACCTGAAGGATAGGTGGGGGGCTCAGGTCCTCCAGCCTGGCCTGCTCACCATGGTGAGTTTGTATCAAGTCCCCCTCTGCAGGCTGTGGCCGTGGCGTGCCGGCGCCTCCTGCAGGGAGCCCGTGCCCTGTGCAAACCAGTGTTTGCTTCGGGCTCATGCTTCTGAGCCCAGGAGGCCCGGGGAGGAAAGGAGGGCCCATTCTGCTTCCCAGGAGTGGTGTCCTGTTCTGCAGCATGGCAGCGTCAGAGGGTACACAGAGCAGGGCTCAAATCCTGCTGGTTGACTTAGGATAAGCCGCCACATGGGTCCAAACCTCAGTTTCCCCATCTGCCACCAGGGAGTGATAGTACTGGCAGGCCTGGTGTGAGGGTTAGATGGGCTCCATTATGCTTTTCAGTGGAACTTCTCTTTTAGGGGTCCCCTGGGGCACTGCAGTGTGTAAGTAGGATGCTGGCTGGGAAAATGTACAGATCCCTCTCCACTGTGTTTTGGTCATGGAAGCTCGTGGAGATGCTGGAGGGACTGAGGCTTTGGGTGCTCCTTGGAGGGTGGGCCTGGTGCAGCCAGGGCACCCCACTCCCATGGGTGACACAGGTAGGCGTGGACACAGACCCCTGTCACCCAGCAGGCCATCGGGGAATGCAGCAAGCCCGCTGCTCTGTGGCAGCTATGTGGTCTTGGGCCTCACTTAGCCCACCTGTAAAATGGGATTAGTGAGATTTCTGTCTTGTGAAGAGACCGTGGTGATACGCAGCTTCCTGGAGGTGCATGCTAGGCACTGGGAGACCCCAGCGAACCTGACTGGCCCGGGGACGTTGCCTTTGGGTGGCTTTCCCTGCATGAAATCTCTCACACTCTCAGTTGCCAGGGGCACTGAGAAAAATGTCCAGGCCACAGTCATGTAAACCCTGGCTTTTCTGAGTGCCGTGCAGATTGGAATGATGCTTCTGTCGTTATGGACAGAGCATCCGTCGAGAAAGGTACTGGGTCCCTTTTGTCTGTGTTGTGGGTTCTCCATGCTTTGCTTTTCTTTGACACTTGAGGATAGTTCTCACCAGTAGTAGAAACACCTGCGTCGGGGCCCACAGATGTTCCCAGGGTGGTCCATGACGGCACAGGCTGCGGAGGCTCTGGCGCCTATTTGTGTTTCAGTGGAAAGGCTTTCTGCTTTCGCCAAAAACTATTTGATCCTCATTTCATGTTGAACGTATTTCCCAGTGAAAGCCTGTGGGTCACTGTGGGTAGGTTTCTTTAAGAAAGCGACTAAATATGATTTCATAAAAGGCTAAGTTAATCTCTAAGACAGCTTTGTCCTCTTCCCCACAACCCTACTCCCCATTTTTGGGGCTGTAATACTGCTGCAGCTTATGGTATTTTTATTCTCCGTGTGATGAAAGATATTCTTGGCCTTTTCTGTTCAGCAACAGGACGAATGGGTTTCTCCATTCTCGAAGAAACATGTCAAATAATCCCTTAGAAGCCTAAAGAGATATGTGTGTTCAAAGTGTTTAAAATGTTATTTTAATCAAAGGCACAAAACAGTCTTCATACTGTGTCCGCGGAAGACGACCGTTCCATTTCACCGGCACGTCACACACATTGCTTTCCAGTCTTCCCCCTTTTCCCTTCCCTACTTCGGCACCAACTTTTTTTTTTCTTATTTAATAAAAAGGAAAGATTAAAGAATAAAACTTCAGTGGCTCAAATGTATAAAGTAATTTAATATGGTGGGAGCATTAATTATTTTAGCTTAATTGAATTCTGAGGACTGCAGTAGTTGCATTTTTGTAGACAAGCCCTGTTTATTATTTCTCTGTGTAGATTAACAGTAAAGGAAACACAGATAACTTTCAGTTATTTATTGTAAAATAAATGTGTCAATTCATGTGTAAAGCAAGCTGCTGAAAGATAATTGAGTCTTTATATTTTAAGAGGGGGACTAAGAATCACAGACGCTTCTCTGCCTGGGCTTCCTGCCCATGTCCAGCACCACTGGCCTGGTCCAGGCCACGCCTGTTCCTGCTGGCCCTGGCCGGGTTGGGTTGCTGGTGAGCAGGTGCATGTTAATTCTTGGGGCTTTGCCTCTGGCTGGGCTGTCTGAGGTGAGGTACCTGTGGTGGACTTGACCGTCATACTTCTCATGGAGTCATTGGTGGGCATGTTGTCTGGACGGCCCTCCTCCCTGCCAGGCGCTTCGAGAGGTGGGGCTCTAGAGATGGCTGGGCAGGGCTGGCCTGTCAATATGTAGGATCCCTTTCACCCTTAAGCGTGAGAATGAGTTGGAATTCTGTCAGCTGGACCCCAGACTGGCCCTTTCTTTGGGGCAGTAAGTCTAGAGACTGGTGTGAGAGGAGTAGTTAACTTTTTTTCTTTTGATGATAGAGAAGTAAGAGAGAGGAAGGGGAAGTTTCTGAAGCTTTGTCTCCTGGGGGGTATACATGCATGTATGCATTCATTCATTCATTCATTCATTCATTCATTCATTCCACAGCCAACACAGCTCTTCCCCTGCCCCAGGAGGTGACAGAACCCCCAGGGGGAAAGGGCACGGTGAGAGGACCGCCCTCTGGGCTGCTGCTCTGTCCCGCCTGGGGGACGTGGCTGGAGTGAGAGCAGCTGGCAGCCGCACCCTGGGCATGTGCCGCTGTGGTCCTCTATCCTGCTCCTTGGCCAGCTGCTGTGGGGCTTGTGTCCAAGGCCCATCTGCGGACGAGGGCTGGAGTTGGGCAAGGCAGGGGCTTTGGCCTGGAGATCTGACCCAGGGCAGTCACCTGCCTCTGATGTATGTCCGCGGACACTGGGGTTCCCCGAAGACCCCTTCCCAATGTGTTCCCCCACCTCTGCCCAGGGCTGTGATGGAGCTTGGGGACTGTCCATCAAGGGGAGCTAGGACTAGCTGACCCTGGGACGGGAGGGGAGGGAGGGGCTCCAGGTGTGTCAAGAGCAGTAGTCTCTGAGCCATTCATTACCTGGGAGGGGTGTCTGGAGGAGGGGTGAGGTGAAATGGAGCTTAGGGTGTTTTGGCCTGCATGGGAAAGGACCCAGCCCTAGGCTGCACCCTACTCTGCTGCCTGCCAGCTTTGTGCAGAGTGACTTGACCTTCTGAGCTGCAGTCTCCTCTTCTGGGAATGTTCCTAACAATAACCGTGCCGTCCACATGACAGGTGGCTGACTACAGTGAGGGTGCCTGCACTGTCGCGAGCTCCACCATTGCCTGCGTTGGAGTGGCTAATGGAATGTTCCAGGACTCACGGAGAGGCTTCCACTGGGTTCTGAGCTTTCCACCATCAGCAACACTGTCAGAATGACTGTTCTAATGGCAGGTCACCCTAGGAGGGGTCAAAGGGGCACGAGCTTTGGTGTCAGTCGGCCAGGGGGGATTTCCAGGGCCCACCCAGGCAAGTCAGTTCACTTTCCTAGGCCTTGGTTCCCTCATCTGCACCTACTTTTCAGCTTTAGGCTGGGATTATGTGAGATGAGATGTGTGCTTCACCCACCTAGCACAGGGCCCGGCTGCAGGTAGGTGACTGAGAAGTGGAAGCTTCTGAAAAGCTTTTAAAAGTGTATGGACCCCGCTTGGGAGCACGAGGTGCTTGCCTTTCTCAGTCAGAATCAGAATCTTGAAAACTTGTCTTGGATATCTCTCTTAGCATTTCCTCTAGACTCCTCCTTAGAATTTCCATTTTATAGCCACTGGAGAGAAGGCTCTTGATCACAGATAATTGGTCTTTTCGTGATATCACCTCTTCCATAACTAAATGAAGCTGTAACGGGGGAATGAGCCATCAGCTATCAGTCATAGGCTTGCTTTCTGCCTTCTTTCCCTACTCTCCTTAAACCCCACATGTCAGATTTCTAGAGGAATGCAGGAGACAGGCAGCAGGTGACAGGAGGTGGTAGATCCCCCCTGGGCTGGAAGTGGCAGGCAGTTCCCTACTGTGATGGCCCTACCTGCTCTGTTCATCTTCACCTGGAACCCGGGATGCACTTGGCGAGGCAGGGGTTCATGTAGCAAGCAGGGCACAGACAAGGGGTTTGGCTTGGGGTCCCAGTGACCCATGGCTAGGCAAAGTGTGTTAGAGAAAAGAGCTTCTGTTCAGCTGCAGGGTTTACATGCTACTCTGAGAATGTTCATTTCAGACTTTAAAAAATAAATGTGAGAAAAAGAATATTAGTTTGGCTGGTTGGGAGAAACTAAATAACTTGTTCATGCTGGAAACTGGAGATAAATCCCACTTGCAGGCTGTCTTAAAAAACTTGCATTTGGTATATTTAGAGTTGTTATTT